ACTGATCTGGCACATGTCTATGTGCAATAGATCCAAATACCTTCATATGACTCAAGCTAGGCTTCACACCATACCAACATTCTTCTGGAGTAATTCCTTCTAGCTTCTTTGTAGGACATCTGTTCAAAATGTATGTTGCATTCGAAACAGCTTCACCTCAAAACTCTTTAGGTAAATTCTTGCCTTTCAACATACTTCTCACCATATTCATGATGGTTCGATTCTTCCTTTCTGCAATTCCATTTTGTTATGGAGTATAGGGTGGCACCACCTCATGCACAATCCCTTCCTTTTCACATAGCCCGTCGAAGCCTCTCGACACGTATTCTCCACCACCACCAGTTCTCAAAACTTTGAGCTTTCGACCACTCTGTCTTTCGACCATAAACTTAAACTTGGGAAATACTTCGATCACTTCACTTTTCTTCTTGATCAGATAAGTCCACAACTTTCGACTGAAATCATCTATGAATATAACAAAGTATTTATTACCTCCCATCGAATCCACCTGGATTGGTCCATATACATCAGAGTATATGATTTCAAGAATAGTCTTTGACCTGCTTCCTGCATCATTGCTAAAGCTATTCTTGTGCTGCTTCGCCTGCACACATTCCTCACATACTTCATTTGGAATGTCAATTTCAGGCAATCCTGAAACCATATTTTTCTCTTCAAGTCTCTGATGTCTCTGAAGTTGAGATGACCTAGTCTATAATGCCATATCCATTCATCTCTGCTAGTTGCAGTCGAAAGGCATTTGTACTCCATCACAATTAGTTCGATCTTGAAGGTTCGATTATGAGACATAGGAGCCTTCAAGATTAATCTTCCATTTGAATCAACGACTCTCATCATCTTATCTTCGATTGACACTTTATAGTTCTTTTCGACCAACTGCCCTATACTGAGCAAATTACTCTTCATGCCTGGTATGTACAACACATTAGAAATTACTGACCTCTTGCCATCTCTCCTCATAATCATAACATCACCAATACCTTCAGCTTCTAGGGTACTATCATTTGCAAGTTTTACCATACTTTTCGTTGAGGGCTTTATATTGACAAACCAGTCTTTCCTTCCAGACATATATGATGAACATCCTGAATCCAAGTACCGCTGGTCCTTGAATCTATCTTCATCTCTTGTTGTGACCACCAACATCATCTATTCTTCTTCATGTTTTGCAAGCTTTGCATCACTTTCTTGATTCTTTTGTACAATCACTCGAATAATGTCCATACTTCTGATAATTGTAACATTGAATGTGACTCTTATCAGGTTTTTGACCACCACCTCTTCCTCTATTTGTAACACCACCTCTTTGGTTGCCTTGGTATGGTCTTCTTTGATTCTACACGTTTTCTTCGATTTGGTTTCCTTTACCACTCGATTTGTTGTAACCACCTCTACCTCTGTCGAAACACTTTCCTTTGCCTTTGATTTCTTTTGCTGAATGTGCCTGCAAGGCCACATCACTCTTCGATTTGCTTGCAACTCTTTCATTCATTCTTTGTTCATGAGATTCAAGCATCCCCTGGAGCTCTTCCTTTGTCAATTTCGACAATTCCTTCCCCTCTTTTATCGCCACCACTATGTGGTCGAACTTAGGAGCTAAAGATATCAAGATCTTCGAAACAACAACTCTTGTTGTTAATGTTTCTCCACATGCCTTGATTTGATTCATTAGTTTTATAAGTCTAGTGAAGAAATCATATATGCTCTCACTATCTTCCATCTGGAGAAATTCATAGGTTCTCTTGTGAGTTTGTAACCTCACTTCTTTTACCTTTTCTGCACCTCCAAAGGACTTCTCAAGAACGTCCCAAGCTTCTTTTACAGATTCTAAATCACTCACTTTTTCAAAGTTTTCTGGACTCATACATTGATGAATTATAAATAGCGCTTTATAACCCAGCTTCTCAATTTCTATGTGTTTCTTCTTTTCTTCTTATGAAGCGTTTTCTTCAAGCACTTCGACTCCATCTTTTACAAGATCCCAAAGACCTTGACACCTGAATAAGACTTTCATATGTTTGCACTAATTCTCATAGTTGTCTATTTTTAGAATTGGTAGAGCTGCTAGATAATTTGCATTCCCATAATTTGCCATCGTGAATTCTTCAATCGTTCTTGATTGACACTTCCCTCTAATCGAAACAAAGCTCTTGATATCAGATATTGAAAACTCACCAAAGTCTATGATGAATTTCTACCATAATGATAATTTAATTATGAGACAAACAGAGAATGAAGACAAGACAAATAATTTCTGCAGAGTTTCTCTCTGCTCAAAAACTGTGAAAACTTTATTATTCACTTTGCAACTGCAAAATACTGTGAATGACTTGCTTGACTTGCTTACAAAAAATAGGGGTTACTCCCTCTATTTATAACTGAGCTTGCACCCTAAGCCCAAAACCTAAAATATCTATTTTGTTACTAAATCAAATATAATATATTATAGATTTAAATCGAATCTATTTAAATCTAAATAAATCTAATCTTTTCGACACTATGAATTACAATTTAACATTATTTACGAAACATGACGAATATTTAATACTAACTTTTGTAAAATTTTAAAAATAAAATATATAAAAATTATGTATGATTAAAGAAATAGAAATATTATTAATTTTCAATATAAAAAATAAAAAGAACTCAATTTTTTTTATGAATCTTTACATATAAAAATAACAATTATACGTCATTATAAAATAAACATTCAAAATAGATCTAGTATTAAATTTGTAATTAAACTTAATTAATATTAATTGTATTTTCAAGTGCGTTTTTTAACTAATACTCTCTCCGTCTCACAGTAGATATGCGTGTAAGCGGATAAAAAAGTTTATTAAATCGATAATTCAAATTAAATCAAATCAAAATAAAATTGATTGTTTATGATTTGGTACTAAAATCGAATCGAATCAATGAAAATCGATGTGGTTTGATTCGTTTTTCGATTTTAACTTTTAGAAATCGCCAAATCGATGAAGCAAGTCAATGAATATAATTACGCTTTAAATCTTTTATTTGATCATTCATTAAGTCAAATTTTGTATCAGTCTAATCATTATTCATCTTTGTTTATATTTTCTTCCTTTTAACCAAACATGCATTTAGAACGAAACTCTAAAACATAGAAAGTATAAATCATGAGTCACAAAAAACTTGCTTTCACGGAACTGCTGCTCTCGCTGCCCGCCACAATTAAGGGTGACAAACGGACATGTCCGTCCCGCAAAAGTCTGCAAAAAAAAGAGGCAGAGCGGGGCAGACATAGGTGAGGATGCATGCCTAAAATCTAGCTCCGTCCCGCAAAAAAGTGAGGGATTGCACCTTTTAAGCCTAAAAACACAAAAATATGTGCCCGCAAAAGCTCACGTTGAAAATGGGACGAGGAGTGAAGGACAAATTAGAGGGTGATGGCTTAAACCCTTAGCCCACCTCGCACTAAACGGGCATGCCCAACGGGCTGAGCCCATTTTGTCACCCCTAGCCACAATTGTTGCTCTCTCTACCTTGATTCTGATATGTTATAGTCATCTTCTTTATGTTCAACTTGTCTTCATTATTTTTCATATTTGTTTTTTTCTATTTTATTTCTTCTTCTTCAACAAAATTTCTTTTAGTCTTATTACAAAATAATTTTGATGTGTTTTTGAGGTGTGAAACATGTCAATTAATGTGTATTTTGTTGTGTTCTATTTGTTAAGCTTTTAAATCCATTCTCAAATCTTCTGATGCAAAGTGTCAACTTTTATATTTGATACTCAACTTTTTTCACGTAATAAAAATCATGTCACTATTTCACATGAATTAAGATAAACTTGTAATTGGTTTGAAAAAATATAACATGAAATAAATTATATAAAATATATTATTTTAAAAAATAATAACAAAAAGTACACCGAAAAACACAACAGTAGAGAATATACTGATAAATATAATATCGATCAACCAAACCAAAACAATAAAAATATCATTGGCTCAAGTATTTTTTTTGAATTAAAAACTATTCGAAACCAAATCGATTACTCCCCTAACAATAAATATCCACTTTCTAATTTTTATTTGTCTTCAAATATTTATCCCTTTAAAATATTAATATAATATTTATTATTTATTTTTATTAACTTATTTTTATTTATTATATTTTAATCACTATTTATTATTAATAAAATTATTTTAATAAATGACATTTATTTTATTATTGAAATTAACATAATTATTTATTAAAAATTCAAAGATTGATACCTAATCTGAGACAAGTATTTTTATGTAATTATAAAAATAGTAGTAGTATAAATAAGCGTTAATTATTTGTATGTAATTATAAAAACATGGAAAAAGGAATCAGAATATAAAAACTTGAGCATAGTGAAAAAGCAAAGAGCTTTACATAAACTTCATTAAAATAAGTATCGGAAGGGAATCTGCTGCAATTACCGCTATACGCATTAAACAATCTCAGCCGTGTATTGAGATCAAACGGTCAAATCCCAATCCAGCACTTAAAATCCCATAAACAGAAAGAGCTTAACACTTCAAAATGGAACCTCCTACGCGCCCACAGATAAATTGAATCTCAAACAAGAAAAAGACCGAACAGAAACACAACAAAAACACCGATTCCACAATTCATCACAACTTGCAACTGCATGTGATTTTTTTAACTTTTAAACACTTTATTATATTCATCTTTACTCACTCGCACTTCCCTCAGTCACTTCTTGCTCCTCTCTCTCTTTCTCTCCCTATCTCAACAATTCCGGTATATATCAATCTTTCTTCATCAAACACCCCACGAGCCTCTCCCAACATTTTCAATCCTTTTCAACACCACAACAAAACCTCCCCACTCTTCAATTATTCTCATTCTCTCTCTCTTTCACATTTTCACAAACACATGCTGCTCATTATTTCTCACTTATAGATTCAACCTTTCGAACCCATCGATTCATTCTACAACGCACTCACTCACTCACTCCATGGCTCTTGAAACACTCCTCTTCAAGGTCAAAACCGCCTTTTCCAACAGCTTCGATTCCGTTCCACCCAAGCTTCTCAAGAACAAAACTAAAACTACTTTTACTTCATTCAAGAACTCGAAACGAAACGTCGCCGTTTTAGCCTTCGAGATCGCGGGTCTCATGTCGAAGCTTCTTCATCTTTATCAATCTCTCTCCGATGCCACCATCGTTCGCATCCGAAACGACGCCGTTACGCTTGAAGGTGTTCGGAAGATTATCTCAAACGATGAATCGTTCTTGCTCGGACTCGCTTGCGCTGAGTTTACTGAAGCTCTCCGACTCGTTGCTAACTCGGTTACACGACTCAGTCTACGCTGCGAGGATCATAATCTCCGGGATTTCCACCGGGCGTTTCTCGAGTTTGCTGATTCGGGCCGTGATGCAAACGGGTGGGTTTTTTCTGGTCCGAAGGAGATTGAAGCTAAGTTTAGAAAAATGGAACGTTACGTGATGCTTACGGCAGCTTTGCACCGTGAAATGGAGGAGCTTTCTGTTTTGGAAAGTGGGTTTAGAAAAGCTTTGAGTTTGAATCATCATCATCATCATCATCGTCGTAATAGTAGCAGTGAAGGGAATGAAGGCTCTTTGGGTGTTGGGAAAGAGCAGAAAATATATGAACTTCAGCAGAAGATTTGTTGGCAGAAACAAGAGGTGAAGGATCTGAAAGATAGATGTTTGTGGAGTAGAAGTTTTGATGGTGTTGTTTTATTACTTGTGAGGTTTTGTTTCACTGTTTTAGCAAGGATTAAGGTTGTTTTTGGGATTGGTCATTCTGTTCGTTGTTTGTCAACTAGTTTATCAACTTCTGCAACAGTTTATCCCTCTGATCAGAATCCTAATTCTTGTCATGAATTCGTTTCTGGGTCATTGGAAATCTCGGAGCTTGATGAGATCAAAGAACGTTTCGGAAGTGGGTTTTTTGAGTCTAACTCTAAGCTTTTGAAACCACCTCCTAGTACTTTAGGTGCTTCAGCTTTGGCTTTACACTATGCTAACTTGATCATAGTGTTGGAGAAGATGATAAAGACACCTCATTTGATTGGTTTGGATGCAAGGGATGATTTGTATGGCATGTTGCCTAGCAGTATAAGGTCAGGTTTGAGGACTAGGTTGAAAGGAATTGGGTTTTGTGCAAGTGATCCTGTTCTTGCTGGTGAATGGAAGGATGCTTTGGGGAGGATATTAGGGTGGTTATCACCTTTGGCACATAACATGATCAAGTGGCAAAGTGAAAGAAGCTTTGAGCAGCACAATTTGGTGCCTAAGACTAATGTTTTGCTTCTGCAGACTTTGTTTTTTGCAAACAAAGACAAGACTGAGGCTGCAATAACTGAGTTGCTTGTTGGGTTGAACTATATCTGGAGGTTTGAGAGGGAAATGACTGCTAAGGCTTTGTTTGAATGTGCTAATTTCAATGGTTTTATTAAATCTGCAAAAACATAGTTAATTAATTAATGAGATTGGTTTTTAATTTTCATGTCCTTTGAATTCTTCTTACTTCCATGATAGAGGTTTTAATTTTGCTACTTTAAAGGGTTTGTTTTGCTTCTAAGGTAACACAGCACTCTGTAAGTGTATAGAATGTATATGATGTTATATGTTTTCTTAGTGAAATCTATCAGAAATGCATTGGCTTTTCATCATTAATGCTTCCACAATGATGAGACAATATTCCTTGTATTCAATTATGGTTTGACTAGAAATTGAGTGGTTGATATTTATATATATAAGTGGAGTTCATTGTGTGTGGATGTACCATCACTATTAGATCCAACCTTGTGTGGTTCATGTGGTAAGTAATAATAATACAAATAAACTAGTAGCTATATTCTTGATCTTTTTCCTTGCATATCTTGATGGCATTAGTATCATATCAAAATCAATAACCTAACCTAACCACAATGGACCCGCTAGCCGTAACTATTGATTTGATACAGTTTACGTTTGGATTAGGATTATGTTTTTCTTCATCGCTGGGGTGGGGTTGATCTAAAAGGGGACATGTTTCCACCCTTATTCGATTGTTGAGCTACTTGTGTTTTGAACCGTGTGAATACTTGAAGCGTCTATTATTAAACCTTTATTACGTAAGTTGGATTTTTTTTTTTTGGTTAAAATGCTTCATTTTTGTTATGATTAGAAATTTTGTTTGAAAACTTAGAACTCAATAGTATTATTTGTGTTTTGTCTGTTTCTTGGTGAATGGGGTAATTTGAGCTGATATTTATTATTATCTTGCAAACAAAAGAGTTACTGATTGGGCTAAACCAACCTTTTAGTCTTTATGTTTATCTCAGACTTATTGGATCATTTTCAATAAAATTGACCAGTTTGCTTCCTTAATTATATAATGTTTTTTACATAATTATGTATAAATGACACTAACTATGTCCTCTTTTTTTTTTTTGTTGACATGTCAATTAATTTGTGTTTTGGACCGCCCATAAGATTCAAGACTCGATGGTAAAACAAAAGTAGTAAGCACGAAGAACAGGTACACATATATTCTCTTAGAAATGGAAAATTTCTCCTTCAGTATCATTGCTGACCGTCTAGATCAATCAAACAATTGGTCATGATCCACGCTTTATGTTTTAAATTGTTCTCACTATTTAAGCGAAAAGGCGCGTCATTTCTCAAATATTTAAATCAATTTTCACTCCCACATCATTTAGATTCTCTCACCTTGAGCGTTTGAGTGTTAACCTTGCAGGTCAGCCCCTTCTCCATTGTATCTAAAGCTCAAGTCCACCGTAGCAAACACTACTTCATCGTTCACCAAACAACTTTGGTTCCACCACAAAACAACAATGTTATTGGTGGGAATTAAAATATGGTTCCAGCGTATTTCCATGTTCAGATCTTCTCTGATCTAGAGATCTAGATCTCCTATCTTAAAAGTTTAGATCTCCATTTCTTGATGATCTTCATCAAATCTCAAATTTCTTTCAAACAGATCCTTCTTCAGATTCATCAACCATGGTGGCATCCAAAGCAACTCGATTTGTCGTCAACGAAAAGCTATTGTCGTTGTGGTTGAAACTATTAAAGATCTAGTTTCTCTTTCTCTTTCTCATCCTGTGTCAATCAATTGCATTGGAGTAAAAATTGAAAAAAATAACAATGTCAATCGATTGACTAAGCTATGCAATCGACTAATTCTTGAAAAATTGGAAATAAAGGTGAGGGACTTGTGATGTCAACCGATTGATGCTGTGAAATTTTTGAAAAATTCTGAATTTGAAACTTGTTCTGTTTCCCGATGATTTTAGCCATAACTTTAGTTTCCTAGGTCCAAATGATGTGCCCTTTTTGAAGCGTTAGAAAGCTACTGGGCAGAGCTACCTTATGGTAGTGCGGTTTGAGATAATTGTTGTATCGATGAATGACCATTGTGTGAATAATTGTTGTGTTTCATATGTATGATTATGTGAGTATTGTACATGCTGATTGATGATTTATGAGACTAGTGGTTCAGAGTGAGAACTACTTGTGGCGTAGTGAATGCTTGAGTGATTGCAGTCTGATTGAGGTCGTATTCGTTGTTGTATTATTGTTATTACATTGTAATATGCCATGCATCATATGTTGTTGTTGCTGTGAAAGAGACATGTTCGCTAGTTTAGAGTGAGGACTAATGACTTGTCCCAAGCTCAAATACGGGGGCTTAGAGCTCATATGTGGGGGCTCGAGGTTCAAATGGGGGACTCAGTTCGTATGAAGAACCAAATGTTGAGTCGGTACCGCATGCATATAGAGTTGAGTTGCATTGCATTATATAAAGATTGTGTAATTGAGATGTTTGTGTATTGATGAATACTATTGTGTGATTGAGTGAGTACTATGCCAAATAAGACATTAGACAACGCTTTTTTTGGCTTTTAACAGCGCTTAAAAGCGCTGCATAAAGCAGCGCTGCTAAAAGTGAAGACAATGCTTTTTTTCAATGTAAAAGCGCTGTTTTATGCCCACTTTAGGCAGCGCTTTTACATTAAAAACGCTTTCTTAAACACCCGCTTAAGACAACGTTTTTAAAATAGACATCGCTTTTTTATATACCCCTTTAGACAACGCTTTATGTTATTTTTTATGTTAGGTTTTAGACATCGTTTTTCTTTAAAAGCGTTGTCTATTCTCCCACTTTAGACATCGCTTTTTTTTTATACTTTTTACAGCGCTTTTCTCTTAAAGCGTTGTCTATTGATCACGATTTTTTTTTAATAAAATACCTATTTTGACTTACAAAAACGAACTTGTGCCTACAAGCACAAGGATTGTTTGAGACTTACATAAAAAAGGGCAAAGCCTATAGAACAAATTACAACAGTACGACACGCATGCCAAAATAAAAACTTATCAAACACTGGGTTGAAGTCCCTCCACATTTGTACCGACCTCGGGAACAGGCTCCACATGAGAAGCTCCCCGACTTCAACATCCTCGTCAACCCGAAGGAACTCAGGGATAATTATCTTACCATCTGCCATATAGTAGTGGAGTCTCATTCTAGTCGTGTTGAACTCGATTCCAGGATTCAGAAATCGGAGTTGTGCCACCGCGTTGTTAAAGCTCCATGCAACATTGACCATGCAATCCTCCAAGGCTAGTTAGAGACGAGCAACCAAGTCAGCCTGAATCTTCAAACCTTTGACCTCGTCTGGCTCATCCTCAGCAGGAGCCAACTCGGCCCTAAGAGAAGCCATCATGTCCTTGGAAGATTTCTTCTCTAGCAAGAGGGCATCGAGCTCCTCGGTCATCTTCGCCAAACTCTTAACTGCCTTCTTTCGAGAAGCTTCCCCATTAGCGCGCTCCTTCTTAAGAGTCTCCAACTTGACTTGTAGCTTCCTCATCTCGACATCCTGGGAAGTACCACTCTCGGTATACGTAACGACCATCTCCAGAACCCTCATAATGGCACCAGCATCCTGAGCCAACATCACCCTCTTGCTCGGAAGATCCAGATCCTCAAGCAGGAGGGACTGTGCTCGGGGGGAGAGGCAGGGAAGCCCCCTCGAAGAAAGCCATGTTATGCCAGCAAGGAGGACGATCAAACCACCCTTTTTCCTTCTCGCCCGTCAGGTCTACTATGTCATCCTGACATTGCCTTTTAAACCTCAAAGACACCTGCTGAGGAGAGAGCCCCGGCCGCTGGACCAGTCGATGACGTGCCCGAACCCGACTGTAGAGTCATCCCCTTATCACCTGGCGAGGGTCTGGCAGACTTTTGTGCCTTCTTCGAGCCCAGGAGAGCGGCCTTAGCCATGCGTTCAACAACGAGATTCATTCTTTTTACAAAAAAACAATAGAATTTGGTTCAGTAAACAGGAACAATAATTCAAGCATATAAATTTAATCAAAATACGAGATAACTACCCAAATATGCTACGGGATCCTCTTTCTCGAGGAGCTCTTTAACACCTATCAAGTCGGGCTCATAGATCACTTTCCCATCCTCGTCGACAACCGATCTTCCTCCTCTACCCACACGCTGGACTTGGGGGATACCAGTGACAAAGGTCGTCAAACGATCATAGCTAGCCTGGTCCTCTTCGCCCAGCTGGTCCTTCTTCCATATATAATGGTTGGTTCCATCATCATAATATTTCCTCGACCAATGAAAGTGAAACTTCGGCACCAGCTTCACAACCAGATTCCCTTCCTCGTTCAGCTGAGGTTGCCTAGTCTCGTCGACCAGTTGAACGCTCCTAAAGACATTCAGTAGTTCCCTCCCTGAAAAAGGCCGAACCAGCACATAGCTTGGCTTAAAATCTCTGACAATTCCAGGTAAGCTTTAAACAGCTCCCCGTTCACGTGCTTGAGGGAGACCCACGTGAACCGACCATGTTGAGCACCCCGTTCGAGGTGGAAGCAATAGAAGAATAGAGGAACTGTATCCCCTATCTGTAGATGACCGCACACAACCGCGAAAGCTCGCAAGAAGGCTATCAAATTAGGAAGCAATTGTGAAGGAGCAAGGCGGAGATGCCGAAAAACGGCCACCTGAAGGTCACTAAAAGGAAGTCTGAAACCCATCTCCCGAAAGAGAATCTCGTACATAGGAATGTGATCCTGATCGAACTCCAAACAAACCTGGTGATGCGGATTATAAATATATACGACTCACTCCTCCTCGGTGCCCTCTACTTCTATCCCTGTATCCACCGCGGTAAACACTCTGTCTAGATGATCGCAAAATATGAAACCCACTTCAAAGGATCATGCGCGACCCAAGCCAAGGGATTCACCCAAACCACAGGCGTGTCCTGAGCAGCGGTCGCATCATCATCTACCTCGATCAACTCTGGCACGACCAGATCAGGCTCGGGCATCCCCGAAGTGCTCCCTTCGGTCGAAGAACACTCAAAAAGACTTAGAAAGGAGTCACTAGGTTCGGCCATAAACTCGTCTTATGTACCACTGGCCAATATACCTAAAAAGTAGAG